TCAAAGCTAATATATATCACATCATAGGTGTCATAATATGTTAGTAGACATGTTTGTAAGTATGGATCAGAATCAAATATAACACGTCGAGTTTGGTTCTAATTTGTACACATCCTAAAACCGATAAAGAAACCATATATCGTTCGGACTCGGGTTATATTGGTTTGGTAATCTAAAATCTAAAACCAAAACAAAAGAAAGATACTTATTTTTACAGAATTGGATATTAAAGTACTTAGTTAAAATTTAGATAATTAATTTTAAATATCATTTTAAAATAAAATATAAAACTGAATATTTAAAATAGATATTTATGTTTCAAATATTTATATTTATGACTAATTTGGACATTCAGATCGATTCAGATTTTTTCCAGTTTTTTTGGTTTTTGGGTTATTCGTTCGGGTCTGGCTAATAACATTTTGATTTGGATATATTTTGTACCACCCTTACAAAATTCATTCTGATATATTTTAGATTTTTGATCGCTTACGGATCCAATTTTCTTTTGTTTAGATTGAGTTTAGATGTCGAGTTATGGATTTTATGCACATGACTACTTTATATAAAACAAAAATACGGTCATATAACATTTTCACCGAAAGATTATCCTGCATTTTTAAAAAGACTATGTTTGATGAAATTAAAGAACTAAACAAGTTTATCCCACATTTCTACATGTATAGGAAATGCGATTATATAAAGTTTGCATCAAACATAAACTCGCGCGGGTCAAAATCTAGTCTACTCTACTAATTTAGAGTCTTAATTTTTACCTACTTAAAAATATTGTTATTTAAATTTGGACCTATTTATAACACATTAGAAATAAAAGATACTACCATTCCTTATATTTAGGATAGACTATAACTTCCCTTCTACACATAAAATATATTCACGGTTATACAATGATAACAATATTTTTCCTAGACTCTTGCAAACATTAATACGAGTTTGGATTATTCATAACTTTTTTTTATTATTCATAACTTTGTATTTGAATAACCGATAGTCCAACAAATAAAATGCTGTCATTTACTTTGTATTTTAATCTTTGACAGTGGTTTATATTTCTTTGATGGACTAATAAAACAAAATTACACATACATCATCATCATGCATTTTTCAATCATAATATATATATATATGTGGATGATAGAATTCATCTGACATTTATTATTGAAGTATATATTCATACAAAATGTTGCACATGTAGAAATTAATAGAGTAGATATATTAAAATTTAGACTTAACAAATTCCAGAATAGCAAAAATTTATTATATATTCATGAATAAAGGGAATGGAACAATATTAACTAAAAAAAAAAATTCTTACAATTATGCTAACAAAAATAGAAATGATTTCAGTTTATCTTCCTAGAGTTTAGAAAACTAAATTAATAATAAAAAAATCTTGGCACAAAGTTTTAAGAATGATTCTTTTCTCTATACTATTAAAACAGAATCCCTACTAGGATTCTTCCCTTAGGTTTTAGAGTTATTTACCAAGAAATGTCATTTATTTTTTTGAAATAACTTTGTTATTGATTTTATGGTAATTATTTGATAAAAATACCAAATATTACTTATTTACCTTAAATGAAAAAGCTACCACTTAATTACTTCGAGTTTTAACCAAACGATATCATTTTTTTTTAGGAAACCAAACGAATATCTTTTATATTTTGAGAATCTACCACCTCTTATTATAGTTCCGTGCATGTGTTTTTTTAAATCTTAAAACATATTGTATATGTTTGTTGTATATAAATATTTTGATATTAGTGTTGAATTACTATTTGTATTGAATTTCATTTTTCCTTTTTATTATATACTAATCATATGTAGTATTGAATGTTGTTTTGTATCTTCAGACTTTTAACACATATACAATTATTAGTAATATAATAAGTAAGTTATTATTTGAGCTGTTATTTTGTTTTTATGTCAATTTTGTATTATTATGTACACTAATATTTAATTTTTAAAAAATATTTATTATATATAATATAACATATTATTATTTTTTCTAAGAAAAAATTAATATGTTTTAAAATTTACGAAATGATAAATATGGTTTTATATTATATTATTTGTATTAATATATTTAGTATTGAATCACATTTGTTTTGATTTCTGAAGAACAAATTAAACCAAGGCATATTGGATAACAAACCACGTGATTTTAGGTGCACTCGATTTTGTAAAATTTAGTAGGTAGGATTGTTAAGTTATAAAATAACTGTTTTTAAATCCAATGGCATTCAATAGTAAATATTAAGAAAAAAATCAGAGTTAATTATTAATGTACTTTAATTTTAACTAGAGCTGGACCCGTCCGACCGGACGGGTATTTATTTCATTTTTTCTATAAATGAATATTATTTAAATGTCTATCCGTTAATATTTTCAAATATTTATCATATTTCTAAATTTTTATAAACACAACAATCGAATAGTTTATGTGCTGTAAAAATAGTGATTCGTGTTCATTATTAAACTTTTAAAAAAGTAATATTTACCTATTGATAGTTTGAATAATACTTCAATTTCACTATTAAATTTTCTTGTTGAAAATAATTAATAGCAACCAAAATGGTAAAACATATATTTTAGAAATTCTTGAAAAATATATAATCTTAGGTGAGATTTAATTATATTAAAATAATATTCAGTTACAAATAGTTCATGTTGTTTATAAGTAGTTTAAATATATTTAAAATCTTATTGTTCAAAATAATTAATGCTAAGTTAAACATATATTTTAGGAATATTCATAATATTTTTTTAATTTCGAATTTAAACTTGAATTTTCTTCAAAATAATTAGTGGTAACGTTATACAAATTTAATATTGTTAAAATCGTTTTTAAATATGAATATTCCTAAAAATAAGCTAGTGTATTTTAGGGAATATATTAAACATGAAAATTAAGCTAAAATTGTTTTAGGAAATTGTTTAATAAATAGGAAAAGACAATGATTACTTACATATAAGTTCATTTAATTACTTCAGTGGCATGCTATTGTAAATAAAAGTGAAAACTAAGGGGTATTTTATATGGGTACTTCTCTTTTAATAATATAGATAGATTAGATTGCTATTATACTTTTACACTTGATGACTTGATATCTTCATCGAATGAGATACAAGAAGTCCACACGGTCAAAATGAAATTTTTTTGAGATTTTTTTTTTATATATTGTTACTACTTCTGCTAGGTTTTTCAATTTTAGATATGAGAAAGTAAAAATAATAATAAAAGAAGAAAAGCCCAGATCGGTTGCATATTTAAGTTTACAGAAACGAGGGAAGAAGATGACTGTCAAAACACTATCTTATTCTTGATTAAAATTAGAAAGAAGAAAACGAAGTTGCTTTATTATTGTTCTAACCTTTTAACTTTCAGACTTTTAATGTAGAAAATAGATATAACTATGGTACTAAAAGATTTTGATAAAAAAAAAACTATGATATTAACGAAATTTCATGACACGCCATTCAGTATGTGAATATTATATAGATCTCTTTGTTTTTCTTTCTTTTGCAACACTACTTTTCAGAATTTCTTTTAGGTAACAATACAAATGGCTATAATGGAAAGAAGACATGATTGACTAATTATGCTTTTGTTTGCTCAATATTTTGAGCTCAACTTCATATATGACTAAATCTAAATTGACTAAATAATGGATAGCTTTTACTAAGCCTACTTAGTTAACCAACTTTAAATTAAATTCAAATAATTTAATTCCATTGATAAAACCCAATACATTAAAATTATTTAAATGTATAATCAGAAATTCAAAAATATAAATAAAGATATAGTAGGGTATAAAGTGTTAAAACTCATAAATTTAAAAATGATAAAGTATTTATAAATATATTTAAAAGTAGGTTTATGAAACTAATCACATATTTTTAAAAGTTAGTTAAAATTAAAATTAAACTGTTAACTAAACAGATTAATCTATTTAAATTTACTTATAATTAATAAATGAACATATGTTATTTTATAAATAAATAATATAAATAAATATATATATATATATATATATATATGATTTTATAAGTCAACGTAATACATATTAAATTTAAAATAATTATCAACTAAAATATTGCAATTTTGTTCAAAAGTATGATCATACATTGTAATATGGACTGAACCTAATATAACTATATATAGTTCAGTTTGTCTTGAAAATTATTCTTCGTATGCTCAGTGACTAATTTCTTACCATCAATTTTTTAACGTATACACATAAGTTATAAGAAAGAAAATTTAAACTTTTGCATATAACAAAATTGAAAATGATCTTCTAACAAATTAGATATCATCTATAAAATGCTGTATTTGTTACTAAAATACATGAATTGTCTCAAAAATTAGAAAATAATCTCATGCTTTAAAAGTGTAGATCAAAATATAGTTATGTTTAAAATGCATGTCTACTCCTAGCTATAACATTAGACGTGGCATTTACAAAATCTAAATGATACATCATGATCATTTGAATTATTGTGTGGCTATATTTTTTTTATCATACTATAATTTTCGCTGGTTTATTTTAGATAACTTTTAAAAGAGCAATAAAGATGTTAAGCAAATGACAATAACAAGGATTTCCAAGTTTTTTAAAGATCTGTAACACAACTAAAGTCACATAAAAAACGCATAGTAATACTAGTTATAAACCCTTATATATCAATTTACTTTTCACATATATATTTGTATATACAAATTTTTTGTTGTTATAAAACACATCTTCACAACACAATCACAAAGAATATATTTTTTCTATCTGATCTCTTTCTTCGTATTTGTTGATAATTTTTTTGTTATTATTTATATTATATATAATAAATTATTTATTATTGTAGCAATATATTGTGACAAATCCTTCGTAATCGTGAACCACGTGTTGGTTCCAGTTCATTAGAAGAGTCAACAAAACACACATTTCTTTAACATCCATCACACTTATCCCCCTTCATTCTCAATCAGATCTCAAGAATTTACCGTTTACACATTTCAATATATTGAGCTGGTTCTGGAATTTCTGTCTCATCTCCTACTTTTTCTTTTCAATATAATTGTGGATAGGAAAAAAAATCTTTAGTAATTATTTTTTGTATCATAGATCATATTTGTAATATACTTATTTTTTGTATCATAAATCATATTTAGTATTATAACGATACATTAAGCTGGTTATATATATATGGACGCATATCAAAAGCAATTGTTGCAACTGTTGATAGTCCTTCGTGAGTCCTGAAACATGTGTTCGTTGCAATTCACGAGAGGAGTCAATAAATACACACATGTCATCAACCATAAGGTTCATCGCCTTCATTCTCAATCAGATCTCAAGATTTTACTGGTTATCTCTTGACTCTCTCTCTCATTCACTTTATTTTTGTTCTTCATGTAGCTATTACATCCTCTCTCTTTTTTTTCCCCATTTTTGGTACCCTGGTAATGATTACCCCTTATCAATTTCATATAATACTTTTTATTTCTCTGATTTTATTACAGGATTTGAAAATTCACGATGGGGAAGATGTACCAGAAGCTGGCACTTTGCGGTGGTGAAGGTGGGCGTGAATGGGACGACGGTGTATACGAGGGTCTAAAGAAAGTGTATGTTGGGCAAGATCTCTCACGTATAACTTGCATCAAATTCGAGTACGTGAAGGAATACGGCGAAGTGGTAACACGTGAATATGGGACTATAACTCAAGACCCTAGAGAGGTTCTTACTGCATTTACTCTCCATTTTGCGCATTCTTAGTTTTCTACATTAGTAGTTTTGTGTAGGTGTTTTTTTCCTGTCTACAAATAGCACCATGTGCGTCCACAATTATAACATGGAAACAACATTAACTTAGATGAGCTTTCAAATTAAAATTAATTGGTGATAAATTGGTTGAATTTTTATATATTATTTAGATTTAATTAAAATTTATGCTTCCTCCGTTTTAATTTAGTTATCGTTGTAGACTAAAATTTTCGTTCATAATTCAAAACAAAATTTATTGATTTTAACTACTATTATATTTTTCTATTAGTTAAAATGTGGTTAGGTATATATGTAATTATGTGTTTTTCTAGAAAATTTGTAAAATTTAATATTTTTAATATGTGTGAAAAAAATCCAAAACGATAAATAAACTGAAACGGAAGAAATATATAGGATATTGTTTTTTTTAGTATGCTCATCGAGATGATGACTCTTTTGTTTATTAATTTCAAAATAGTTAGTAAGGACTTATTAGTGAACTTTAGACTATATCAATTATGGATTCGGTTGGATAAGAAAAAAAAATTTTAATACCATGTTAGATGATTTAATTTTTTTTAAAACCAATTGGCTTGATTGACATCTATTATACATTAGAGAATAGATTACTATGGGTAAACGACCTATTTTCACAACATAAGTTTTGTATAGTAATAGTTCCACACAATCTTTCATATTCGTCCTAATTGCACACTATTAAACTATATGAACCTAATTGCGCACATTTTAAATATATGAACTTATTTACCTCTATTTCTAAAGATCGAAAGCCGAAACCACACAAACAAAAATCTAGCTTGGTTTTACTGGTTTAGAGTCTAAACATGTATCATACCAGTTGGTATCAAACTTAAATTAAAACCCGATCCGACACGATATCCAAATCAAACCTGACCCAACATCCTACTAAAGAGTTGGGTGGATTACAATTTTAATATCATGTTCGGTTGGGTTTTAACTTTAGTTTGATACCAACAGATTTGATCGGTTTAACTGGTTTGATATCAGTTTAGATTCTAAACCAATGAAATCAAAACAAACATTCGTCTATGTGGTTTCGGGTTCGATCTTTGAAAATATGGGTAAATAGGTTCATATACTTAAAATGTGTGCAATTAGAACGAGCATGAAAGATTGTGTGGAACTGTTATTATACGATATTTCTGGTGTGGAAATATGTCGTTTACCCGATTACTATACTACAAACTCGAGTCAATTATATTTCTTTGTTTGGCGTATTTTAATTTGTTGATTGAACAAATGACATTTTCAACTGCAGTTTATACTTGAATATCCGGATGAATACATCACAGCGGTAGAGGGAAGCTACAACAAAGTGGCTCTGATAGCCACGGAGGTGATCACATCTCTCGTTTTCAAGACCTCAATGGGTAGAACCTCTCCAACGTTTGGTCCAAACTTGTTCGGAGTTGTCAATGGCACTAAGTTTAAGTTCGAGGACGAGGGAAAGAAGATCGTAGGTTTTCATGGACGGTCAGAAAATGCCATCGACGCTCTTGGAGTTTACCTTGTACTAGACTCTCTGACCACACCTTTCCCTATTTACAAGCTTGAAGCCCAAGGTGGTAAAGAGGGGAGTGTTTGGGATGATGGTACTTTTGACGGCGTTAGGACGGTGCGTGTTGGTCAAGATGATAATCGTATCACTTATTTGGAGTTTGAGTACGTGAAAGGTGCGACGTTTGAAACACGACGCCATGGGGTTAAAGGAGAAACCCAATCTGAGGTATTTTCTACTAGGTTATATATATATGACTGGCCTAATTATTTTCGAAAAAAGTTATAGGTCATGTTAGATGTAACGCGGTTTATATGTGAAATAGTATATCAAAAGAAAAAAAAAACAGTTTAGTACCAAACAGTTGGTGATAGGACTAGTAGTTTTGAAAAGTTCACATGGTTGCTAGTTTGGAAAGGGTGATTGATATAATATTATTAGTCACTATGTAGTATCTCCCTCATACCTCCAAAACCGGTTCAGATATCAATAATTAGTTTTAAATTGTAAAACCTATAAAGCTTAACTAGATGTTTATATAATATTATTTATTATCAATAATTAGTTTTAAATTATAAATTCGGCTCGTGCGGATGTATTTTTTCATAAATATATTGCTATTTATTTTTTATATCAGTATTATTTATCATATACGTGTCATTATATAATTAATAGTATTTTATACATATCATTCTACTGCGAATTAAATCATTTTTGATTCAAAAATGTGATACACAAGTAGGAAACATTATACATGAATCCGCCCTGTTTAAATGTGTGGGTAAAAATTTAATATTTATCACAAATATATTTCACAAAATGTATTCCAAATCATTGAAATTTTACTTGACATCATATATATTTCAAAGTGCGGATACTATTTTATTTTTAAATTCTATAAAAAAAACAGATTATGTTTTTTTGTATGAGAAACTAACTACGTTTATGATTTGTGGAAGTTTATTTTGCTTTGTAATTTATAAAACAACAAAGATATTCATTTCAATATAGATTTCTATACTTTTTAAAATGTGGTGTTAATATTTAACAATTATTTTATTGATTAACAAAATAAATTTAAAATATTCTTAGGAACATCACTAAAAAGTTTCTGATATATTTTTGTAATTAAATCATATAAATTTGCTAAGATAATGATTTACATTAAGAAAACTCTCTCAGATCTAACCTAGAAAATAAATATGAAATGTGAAGATAATGAATTAATCTGAGATCAATAACAAAAAAAAGACAACTGATAAAGATAGAAAATAAAAGAAAATGAAGAATGATCAAATCGTATGTAGCTTCAAAAGAGGAATCATTATGATAGATCATCTGCACATAAACCAAAACCAAAACCAAAACCAAAACCAGAATCGAAAAACAAAACAATTATGTGTATATATATAAAATCTTAACATTCTAAAATAAAATAAATTTACTAAATCCAAAGCAGAAAAAAATAACATCATAAAATCCAGTGACTTCGTTTCTCTGCTGTTAATGTCTTATATATAGTAAATTGGTAAACGTTTCTAAACGAATGAGAAAATTTGAAATAAAATATGTTTTTAAGAAATTTTCAAAACTATTATACTTATAAGGTAAGATTATTTTTGGGATATCTTGTTGGTAAAAGTAAAAGAGAATATTTCGTGACTGGTTTTGGCTGACAGATTTCACTATAAAAATTAAATATTCAATACATGAAATTATGAGAGGAGATATCTCCTCAGTTGATTTTGCAACAACTTTTTGAATGACATGTTCTATAACAAATATTTAAATGTAAAATATATATTAGATAAAAATATAAATATTTAAAAAATAAACATTGGTTCGTGTTTATTGTTGTTTACGTCATACTACTATTAAATTGAAAATAGAAGTCAAGAAAACTTAACAATACAGTCTAGTGTTTTGAAGGTTGATATCAAATAGTTCGGATTCTTGTGGCAACTATTTTTTCCATAGTTATTCCAATGAAATGAATCTGTGAGAATAAAATGATCATGATTAGGTCTATCCTAGAAAATAAATATGGAATGTGAAGATAATGAATTTACTTGAGATTTATAGAAACTACAAATGTTTAGTTCATCCAAAAAAAGACAATGTTTTGTTCATATGAAAAAAAAAACTAAAGAAAACAAAACTGATCAAATCATATGCTTCAAAAGTAGAATCATTATGATAGTTCATCTGCACATAAACCAAAACCAAAATCAGTAAACAAAAAAATATGTATATATATATATATATATATATATATATATATATAAAGTTAACATTCTAAAATAAGATAAATTTACTAAATCGAAAACATAAAAATAACATCATAAAAGTTCAGTGATTTTGTTTCTCTAGTGAGAATTTCTTATATATAGTAAATTGGTAAACTTTTATAAATGACCTAACTTTCACAAGAAGCTTTGAAATATAATATATTTTAATAAATTCTCAATAAATATTATGCTTATTAAGATTATTTTTGGAATATTTTGTTAGTGAAAAAAAAGAGAATATCTCGTGAGGGGATTGTAAAAGAAATTTGGTTGACAGATTTCACTATAAACATTAAATACTAAATTCATGAAATTAAGCGAGAAGATATCTTGTCAGTTGATTGCAACAAATTTTTGAATGACATGTTTTACTACAAATATTTAAATATATATATGAAAAAAAATCTAAAGCCTAAACTACTATACTATAGATATTTAATATGAAATGATTTTGTATCAATATTCATAGTTATATAAAATTTGATATTTTATTTTCATATTAATCATACTACAAATATTATATTTGTTAGTGGCAAAAATTAATTATGTTTGTTATTTTACGATTTTAAATAAATAACCCCTAGGTGTTTGTTAGTAGCGGCTTTAGTAATTAGTCACAAAAATAATATATTTATAATAAAAATAATATTTTCATTAATATGCAGGAAAACTCTAAAATATTGATATTTTGAAAAGATATGGAGTATCTTGTAGTTAGACCCGTGTATTTGTATATTTTACGATATAATCTTTTTCAAATTTGCTTTTTGTTGCAGTTTCTGGTTAATTTTATGAATGAACACATCACGTCGGTGGAAGCAACCTATGATAACCCAAAGATTTTCCGCAATACTGTCATTACCTCACTCAAGTTTGAAACATCAAAGGGTAGAGCAGCAACCTTTGGTTATGAAGTGGGTAAGAAGTTTGTGCTAGGGCAAAATGGGAGTAGGCTTGTTGGATTCCACGGAAAAGAAGGTGAAGCTATTGATGCTCTTGGGGCTTATTTTGAACACATTCCTATCCCCATTCCCACTCCAGTGATAGGAGATCCATGGGGTGATTATGGTATCTACGACGGTGTCAAGAAGATAACAATAGGACTATATGAAGAAGGTGTAGCCTTTCTCAAGTTTGTGTACATTAAAGGTAATGGCCTAGTAACTGGTGATGACCATGGGAAGATAACTTCACTCGGAGCTGAAGAGGTCATTTTCTAAAACAACAACTCGAGTTTTGTTTTAACTATACTTTACCTTTAAGATTTTCACTTACCATCTTTGTTTATTTTTGAGCCTTTGCAGATTGTGCTTGAGGATGGTGAATATCTAACAGGCATGGAAGGCTACTATAGACCTATACCTGGTGCACCATTTTCAAAAGTTGTGTCTCTTAAGTTCAGGACGAACAAAAGGGAGACACCTCTGTTTGGATTGGATTCAGGTGAGAAGTACTCGACTGAGGAGAAAGGCCAGAAGATCACAGCGTTCCATGGACGAGCTACCAATGTTATCTACAGTGTCCAACCCGTTTTCAGGCCAATCAGCTAGCTGAAAACCTGCTAGTCATATCGACAGAATTTCAGTAAGAGATTGGTGTGTGTGTCCCTTTGTGAATTAAATAAATTTCAGTGAAGAGCTTGACATGTGTTTCTCTTTATGAATGCTCTTCATAATTTACTGGCAGTATATTGGTGTGTAATGCTCATCATAATTTTGCTATTCTTGTTTCTTTTGAGCCCCTTAAAATATAATTTACTTATGCTTTGTGTATAATCTTTATTGTCTCTTTTAATAAAGAACAAACACTAATAATTTTGTAACAAAAACATCATACAATTTATAAAATATCCCCTATATATTAATTGAGAATCATTTAAAAAGTTGTAACCTTAAGTTTGTAATAATTAAAAATAACTCCAATCCTATGTGGCATAGCTCTTTGGCTTCTATTTCAAATCCCAATGATTCTAGAGCATGTGATATAATGTATAGTCTAAAATTTATACTCTCTAGCAATTTAATATTTCGTAGGCTATAGTTGGTCGCATATATCAAATATTTATTGTTTCGCATGCTTTCCTTAAATAAAACCTACGGAATTACCTAATGTGATTAAAATATATATATATATGACAATTAATGATTTAAAAAAATAAAGATTTGATAACAATCTATATACTTTTTCTCATTTTGTTTGTTTCTTTATTATTAAAATAAATTACACAATTACATTAATCATATAAGAAAAATCTAGTTTTTTTTTTGTGTATGTTGTATTTCGAATTTTTCAAAATGAGTATAAATTACTAAAACTGTTAAAAGTCTCACACAAAATTTTAGGATCATGGTTTTAATTTTTTCTATATTAAAATATAATGATTATAGGACCATATGAAGAAATAATTTTAATTTATATATACTTCATATCGTTTTAACTAAACTATACATCATATGAAAATACATACTTATATTTTGATATTTGCATTGAACATATATTGAAAAGTTAATATTTTAATTTTGAAATATGTCATTGTTTTCTTAAAATGATTATAAATTATTGAAACTACTAAACATCGCACATTAAAAAAATTTCATGGTGTAAAGTTTTGTTATACAAATATGAAAATAATCTTAAATCATATGAGTAGAAACCTCATTTAATAGATATCCATACTAAACGTGTGCTATATTAATATGTTTATATCATTTAAATTTAATTATATTTCATATACAATATATAAGATTGATTATTTTGATTTATTTACCCTAATTGTGAATAAACAAGAGTGATAGTTAAATTTAAATGCATACGCCAATTTATTACATAATAGTAACTGATTTCTTAGTTATTTAATATATATATTTATTATTTTATAATATGCATGCAAAATATAAAATAAATATAAAATATAAAATATTTATTGTGGATAAAATGCCGATCTTAACCTAAGTATGTATCTCTTTAATTATTTTAAATCTTAAGTATTTTCTAGATCCCAGGTCAAAACAAACAAACGAAATGAGAATAAACTTCAAAATAAATATTTATATCGAGTAAGAATCAAAAAAAAAAAACACAACAAGATAAAAAATTGAAGATAAATAGGATTGACACATGAACGTAAACTTCTCATAACCATAATTAGTTTTTAAATTGTTAAATCATGATATAAAATTGAGTTAATGTTTAATTTGTTAATTTTTAAAATTTTAAATTTTTAAATTTTTTAAATCATTATAGTTATGTTAAATCATGACCATAATTAATTTTAAATTGTTTATTTGTATTTGAAAACCTTAAAATATTGTTTTTAAAAATAATTTTAAATTTAACTCAATTTTTTATAAAATTATTTTTTTAAAAATTGTAAAATATAGAATTTTCTAATATTATTAGAAAAATAAATAAATTATATTAAATTAGTTTTGAAACTTATATACTTTAAATGCAAATATTTTATCAACTTCTTCTTAAGAAAGTATTAGAGAACTTGTTAATACTCCACCAATCAAGCCCAGTGACACTCTGTTTATTTTCTATCACTCGAACACTGAAAAGTGAAAAGATATATGAAGTCGGGTCCATTAAATTATAAGGTTTGATCTACAATTCTACTTACAATTGTTTCTGATCCTACGTATAGATAATTATATAAAAATTCCAAAATTTCAAAAATTTAAAATACATATAAAACAATCATATGTAAATTTTAAATTTGTCAATAATAAAATTTTATATTTTAATTACATATATTCACCCTCTTATCCTAGTTATTCATTAAACAAGAAGCTGCTAAACATTACCAAAAGTGGGTGGAGGCAAGAGAACAGAGGTGTAAGGAAGTGAACCAAGTAGAAAGAGAAACATGGATTTGGAGCTAGGGAGATCTTGAAGGAAGGAGGAGGTAGATAGATTGAAAGAAGATACAATATTTTAAGGAAAGTCAGATCACAATACTATAAAAACACACTTTGAAGCAAGCAGTTTGATCTTCTCTCTTAGGGCTTATAGGTTTTGATGGTTCTTATCTACAATACACCATGGTTAGGGCTTTAAACCAAGACCATTCCATACTTTCTATAATGTGATGGGAAAGAGCAGAGCAGGCAGAGCAAAGCAAAAACAACTAACATATTCTCAAACTACTACAAATGCTTCCTTTCTACCCGCTGTTCAATCGTTTCCCCCACAAGATGACTGCTCAATTCAAGTTTTGTGCTACTGTACAGGCTATGACTGAGACACTCTCCATCAATGCATATATGCAAATGCAGATTAAAGTAAAACATAACCGATAGATAGATTACTACCTACTTCAGTAGTACTTTCGATATCTTCCTCATATAGACGACTAAAGACCAAACCGATAGCCCTGCTGATACATAAAGCAAGCCAGCACCCCAAGCTACGAGCCATCCAACACTGCTATCTCGGCTTGCAAGAAGTATGGTAGTGCTGTCATCTGCGTGGCGGTTTTCCACTTGCCTAAGTTGTTTACAGCAACAGTCTGTGAGCAGAAACAAAACACAAAAGTTCTTACATACTACAATACCAGAGATAGATGTTGGTGATCTAACTTACCTCCAAAAGCTTTCCATTTTGAGATGCAGCCCATTCTCTTACTGCAGACACTGTAATCTATATAAATACAAGTATCATAAAGTCAAGGACACCTCACTTACTCTACAGGTAAAGGATATTTATAAAACCTGATTTTTAATATTAAATAAAAAGTTGCACAAACAAGAATATTAATATAAAAAATAAAACGTAATCCAATACGGATAATTTGGAAGGATTTATATTTCATGTTTAATCGAATATTTTCCTAATTAATTCTGGAGTTAGATGCAAAGAGTAAAGAATAAGAGCTACAAGCATGTATAGTTAGAGAAGAAGGAGAAATTAACAATACTACTAGAGTAAGTTCTGAAAAGGAGGAGTTGAGTAAGTTGGCAAAGAGCCCAAAAAAATAATCATTTTCATTGTGAACTTGCTCATCTCTCAAAGAATCTCTATCAAGTTTAGTTTCTTCAAACTGGTAATGGCTACTGAAAACCACAGGAGAAAAAAATTAAGGATTTTTAAAGCTTGACAAAGTGAAAGAGGGATGATGGTTGCCAAGAATAAGGTACAACAAATTTTCGTTACTGTGTTTAGATATTTAATTCTAATGCAACTCCAAGCATAAGTCCTGCCATAATGAATGTTCATGAAACGCATGACATTATCATTTCAAACATACTGATCTCGCGGATGAGTTGGGTGTAAAGACGAGCAAATAAATTTGCAGCAAAACTAATATATGTCACCTAAGAGACAAGCATGACTCTCCCAAGTAGATTCTAACTGAAAATAATATAAGCTTGCATTTCTTTATGATATTTCCCAAAGTCTTCTTTTAGGACATCATTTGGAACAAGTGAAGGATGGGAGTGACAGAGACTTGTGCAGCTTCAACCTCATGTGTCTTCAAGCGTCAAGGATACGGTGATGAGCAAGTGTAGACGAGATCACTGTAGTTATAAATATTAATAGAGATAAAGAAGTAGTACTAAATCTCTGGGAATACGGTGCTACTGTCATCTTCTAAACATCCCATTGAAGACAACTGGGTCCACACAGGCATCCTCAGAAATCTGCAGTGATGACACAGCTTGAGCAGCAATCAAATCAGCCGATATTCCAAAGTTATTGTTATCCCATCCCCTTGCAAAAGGCTCATATGAGACTGACGAGTTACAGTCTCTTACTCTGCTTCTGTAAACCGCTTGGTGAGGAAAGAATCCGTTTCTTCCGCTATTGAGTTTAGCAGTATAGTCCCATGGCTTGAAACCCGTCTCTTGGTTTAGCATGGTTCGATACGAGTCGTCAGAGTCCTCGCCAAGTAAGACATGCAGAGCAGCAGCCTCTGCAATAGAGGCACCTTCCTCATCCAATCTTCTTTGTTCCTCTAGCTTTTTAAGCTTCTTTTTCTCTAGCTCAGCCCTGATAGCCGCAGAATTAGCAAGATTTTTCTCCAGACGAATCTTTTTCTTCTCCGCTTGTTTGATACGATCCAGCTCGTCTTTCTCCTGCTTCTTCTCCTTTGCCCAGCTTTCTTCATCTGCTTCTTGATGTCCTTCTTTTCTCATTTGCTTCTTCTTCTCTAGCTCAGCCCTGATCGCTAAAGAATTAGCAAGAGCTTTCTCAAGACGTCTCTTTTTCTTCTCGGCTTGTTTGATTCTATCCACTTCATCTTTTCCTTGCTTCTTATTATTCCCTTTTCCAACAATCGGCTGAGCTTGTTTACGCAGTGTGCTACAGTTATCATCCATGACTACTTGAAAAAAAAAAAACACTCTTCTTCGTCTAGCTTTAGGACACACTTCAACGAATAAAAAAAAACTAAAACTTGTACAATCTTAGAAGGAAAAAAAAAAGTGAACTTGCTTCTTCTTTGCTTGTGAACCAAACGCAATGAGTACTACACCCACTCAGGTACGTAGGTATACCTCATTTTACGAACAATACAATCCCAAAAAGATACGACAGGAGATAAGAGAAGAGAGACGTTGTAGGAGTTTGCAGACTTATCACTTGGAACCACTCGTTGTAATATCCAACATCCCTTAACTAGTCCCATTTTCTACAAAAGGAGAAGAATTATAACATATGATTAGATTTGAGTATGCAAAGTAAACTCTAATTCAAAAAAAAAAAAATATGATTCCTTAACCTAAAATTGACATATCAAGAAAGATAGCGACCTAGAAATACTCTCTCGCTCGAAGAGTATAACCTAATTCAACACCTTAACCTAATTTCATTCCTTAGTCAATCGCATGAACCCCAATTGTCAGATCTATTCATCAAAATTAAATAACTCGATCCAGTCAAGTGCTTATGGCAATAAGAATCACAGTTTAATTTTTAGTAAATCAAAGGATAACAGTACCGACTTCAAATCGAATTGATATATGAAAAAAACTGAACACTAGACCTAAGCAAAATTGAGAATTGGATTCTAACCTTAGTACAATGGCATAGAAGCAGAATCACTAAAAGAACTCCAGAGATTAATCGGATGATAACGAGAGAGAGAAGACAAAACGTGGACGCAAAGTTTCTGTTTCGATCGAGAGGGGTAAAGTATAGAGAGGGAAAAAGATAAGAAGCGAAACAGTGGATTCTTTTGAGAGAGACGATTTTCGGAGTACAAGAGACTGGAGCCCATATAGTCTTGTGTCCAATCAAAATACGACAGGTGGTGGAGTTCGAGGCGGTTGTAGAATAATTTAAAGACTTTGGCTGAAGTGGAGGTTTCGATTGGGAGTTGGGCGGTGCTAACCTCGTCTGACCACGTGTCTAACCGTGAGATTAGAGAGTTCACCCATTATTAACGGCTGAGATTCGATAGCGAAGTAACTAGCATCATACAAAGCTTAAAAGCCCAAAATAAAATAAAATCAGTAAAACTTAACTAGGCTTAAAGCCCACACAGTAACCAAAGAGGAAGACCAGCCCAATCCACCACGTGAACATTCCGGAGAAAGTATGCTCATCGGATCTCCGCTAGAGATGGCAATTATGGATCTGGACCGCGGGACTAACCCGTAAAGAACTGTCACGGGACGGTATTGGGATAAGGTTTTCTAGATCCGTCTTGTGGGATGGGTCTTTGCAGGACTGGGTCTTTTGCGGGATGGACCGAAACGGGTCCCGCATAATTACAAGGACCCGCATTATTTTTCTTTATTCTTTGTTTTACCTGGAAAAAAACGAGAGAATGTATGAGAAGAAGACAATTCATGTGACTTCCCTTGAGAAAATGTAAGGAGCTCGGGCGATGATGATATGAGCTTCGGTGATAATGATTCGAGCTCCGGTGATGACGACTACAGCTCCAGCGATGACGATTTGAGCTTTAGTAGTGTTTTGATTTGGTCTCTTTTTTATTTAATTTGGGATTGACATTTTTGATTTAGTGTTTCATTTTATTTAATTTTTGGATTCAGCAAACTAAAACATTGGTTATGAACTTATGAGTTATAAGATAATGAAAAATATTTTCAGCAATTATTTTTACTTTGTATGTTAGTATGTTTTGGGTGTGATACAAATAATCACAATTATTGTTTGGAATAAAAAATAAGCATATCAATGATTGATAAATTATGTTCAATTGAATCGGCGACTTGAATTATTTCTTAAAATGGCCTAAAGCGTTTCGGAGGGGTCAAAATCGTTTAGCTGCGCGTGTTATCACATGTCCTGCGGGACGGCCCGCGAAGGCCTACAAGAAATGCGGTACGGGATTGGGCCGATGTTTTCAAGACCGTATCCCGCGCGGGACATGCCCGCCGCTCCCGCTAGAAGACGAACCCGCAGCGGTTCGGGACGGGACGGGAAAGCCCAATTGCCATCTCTAATCTCCGCCATCAGCCAAGCCAAACTGGAGAAGGTGACTCCTATGACCATCTCCAGTGGTTTACACTATTTTTTACTCTAAAATAGAGTCATTCGATAATAGAGTTGGAGTTTACACCAATGGTACTCTATTTTAGAGTGAAAAATAGTGATGAACAAAAGAAAAGTTACTATATATTTGGAGTAAACCTATTTTCAGTCTATTATAGAGTGAGATATAGAATATCGTTGGAACACTTTTACTCTAAAACTCTATTTTAGAGTGAAAAAATAAAGTGAGTTTGGAGATGTCCTAAGTTCTGATCTTCCAACAAGTAAGAACATATATTTTTAATGACAAGAATGAACTATTCCCGGGAACGAAAGCCGGCGAAGATGGTTTGTCTTGGTTTGTCTTGTTCTCTCCGGCTTATGTCTCCCTATGAATCTCTCCGACTGCCTTGAAAATTTGTATTCATCAGTTTGCTCTTTGGTTCTGATAATTGCTTCAGGGATCGGCTAGCATGATGCGGTGCGACAGCGAGAAGAGAAGTTTCATCTAGTGATCACAACGACGCGCTGAATTGATATATCTGAAGGATAACGTTACAATGCATCCCATACCGTTCGCATCTGAGAGGATTAGTGGTCGTTTGAAGTTATCCAAGCAAGACTATCTTCTCTTACTGGTAATCAGTTGACTGCTTGATGTAACAGTTTTGTGTTCAGTTTCTTTACTCTTTCTTTAATGTTTTCTATGGCTAGTCGTGGTTTCCGTACAAGGAACAAACCTTCTAATGCAAAGTTATATCAGAGAAAGGTACACTCACCTGTTTCCTTGGAACTAGATTAGTATTAAGAAAATGCGTTAAAACTTGGTTTTTTTATTTCTTTATCTTTTCTAGACAGGAATCTTTATACCATCACAGCAGTTCCATTCGCTGAAGTTAGGTCCATCAGGCATCACACTCCTCCTCTCGGATGGCAATATGTCATCCTTGTTCTGTCTTCTGGTAAGTCAACAAGACCTTAAGACTCTTGCTTCTTTGTTGAGATGGATAATATTTATGACATGTGGGAAGAAGCATATTTTTGTATGAAAATATACTGCTGATGTGTTTGTAATACAATTGATTATTAGTAACTACAGTTGATTTTATTAGTTTGTTTGGCTAAAGTGTATGATGCATCAGACCAGAATTTATATGCAAATTTAAGAGCATCAAGTATTCAAGTGGTAATGATTTATGGACACCTTTTGTTTTCATATTTTAGATCTTAGGCGAAAGAAATTAACAGAACCGGTCTAGCTGAAGCAATTTGAATTTTTTGGTTTTCGATTGAGGGTTTGGTTCAGCTAACATACCTTTTTGGGAAATTGCCAGAAATAACACTTTCAAAATACCACTTTTCAACATTACACTAACCAATTTTACCATTAAAGTTTTAATAGTCAAAATACTATTATAATTTAAGGTTTAGGGTTTTGGGTTTAGGATTGATAGTTTAGGGTTTAGGATTTACTTTTTAGGGTTTAAGATTTACTTTTTAGGGTTTAGAGTTTAGGGTTTAAGGTTTAGAATTGATATTTTAGGGTTTAGGGTTGATTTTTAGGGTTTAAAGTTTATTTTTTAGGGCCTAGAGTTTAGAATTGATGTTTTAGAGTTTATGGTTAATCTTTTATTTAATATTTATTTTATGTATATATATAAAGAACAAGGATATAAGAGCATTTTATCCTTTAATAAAATGTGTATTTTTGAAAATATTCATTTGTTGATGGTAAACATTAAAAGTGGTACCACTAAAATGGTATAATTGAAATTCTCCCTTCTTTTTTCAAAACTGGTTTTTGATTTGGTTCGGTAATCTATTACTTTGGTTTATATTGTCTTATAAAAAAACTATAATCAAATTATATCGGTTTATACCAAATCAACCGAAACTATAATCAAATTACTAGATTTTGACCCGCCCTTAAAGAGGGCGGGACAATCGTTTTTGCTTTAAATTTATGCCCTTGTTTGATTATTCACAAGTATGTATAGACATGAGTATCCGGGTTCAGATAGATTGTCGTTAATAATTTTGGTTTGGTCCAACATATATAGATTACATACAATTTAATGTGTGGTATAAGATTGATTTTTCTTATTAAATAACGAATTTTAGAGACCCGATGAAATTATGAGTTCTATTCGATAATCTAAAGTATTTATTTGTAATAGTTTATTTTTTATAAACAATTTTAGGGTACTATTATAAACAATTTGGTTGATATTATTGTCATATAAAATAAATAGAGATACAACCGACTGTTTATTTTAAAATTATGGTCATAAAAATTGACATTGTATTATATAGACGGTATGTGTTTAAAAATATGATTAACAAAACAATTATCTAAGAAAATAACATAAAAATTCAAAACAGTCGAGTTTGGCACATATATATGTTTCCAATATATTAGTCTAGATTTTGACCCGCACTTTGATAGTGTAGAATTGTTTTTTGTTGATAATACTATTAACCCGTTTGTTAGTTCATAATAGAAATGAAAAATCTATTTGTTCAAGCCGTTTGTAACTGGATAAATATTTTTTGACATGTAGAAAATGAACACATTAAAAAAAGTTTAACTTATTCCAGTACATATGACAAATGAATTTTTGCCCGTAAACTATATAACAAATGCAAATTTTGACCCTTATATATATTAAACTTAAGTTATATCCATAGTAGAGAACATAATATGACTCATATATATAGTAAAGGAAGTTTAATATATAAAAATAAAAGTATATGCCAAAACATATGGGAAAAAATGAGAATTTAGTTTTTTTAATATATAAATAAAGTAATATTCATTAAATACAACTATAGTTAGATATGATAGGTAAAACTATTAATTTGAAATGTATAAACCAAACAATATTTTCTTTCTATTTATTTTAATTTCAAACTAAAAGATAATACTCATTTAGATAAATATGAAAACAATTAAGTTTAGTTATCATTTTGAAATCTCGGCATAATCCAAGTTATATTCATTTTATTAGGTTATATCCTTAATATCACCATTTTTATTCTTATATGATTAACATTTGTTTTCATATTTGTTTGGATGCAAATCTCGTCGTAATGAAGAAGATAAGTGAAAAGAGGAGAAATAATTTAAATGATGTAATTACGCAGTATTCTTAATAAGTTATCTAGTTGAAGAGATTATCTCACATATTAATTTATTTGTTACATTCTACAAATGTATACTCTTAAATTCGTTAGTTCTTTATAATAATTTTTTACAAAATATTTCTAAAAGGTTTAAAACAATTTAAGTTCTAGGTATTTTATTTTACATATTTATTGTGTAAATAAAATGAAAATTATATTTTCTTTTTTTTTTTTTATTTGATGAACTACTATAAGAACTATATTTCAATTTAAATTTTATGATGCGCTATATATATATATCTTTTTATTTTACATGTTTGTTTGTTATAAAATGAAAGTCCAACTCCATTACATTACATTTACTTGAAAGATAAGTTATTAGCATAAATGGTGTACATATATAATGTTTGGTTCATGATTTTATAATCTGTTATATAACAGCAAATTACTATTTAACATTAATTACTTTCGTATTTGCTTAAAAATACTTTTTTATATTATAGGAATAGTTACTTTTTACCATATAGTCAAAAGCAAGTTATAAATAAAAATTGCAAAAATATTAAGGTAATTAATAAACATGATATTTCTATAATTATCACCATAATTGACGACATTTAGGAATATTGATTTTGTAGTTTAAATCAATGACATAATATTATTATTAAAATTAAAATGGAGAGATAATCAAGGCAATATATATTTTGTTGGAAAAAGATTTGGTGAAAAAATATTTGGTGGAAAAAATAATTAATAAAAACTATAGGTTTAAATAATGCAATGGCAAAGATCTGTAAATATTTCCAAAAATCAAGGGGACCTCAAAAAGGCCTTGTGTTTTAATAATATAGATTGGGTATAAGTTAGAATATACACGGAATTAGATGAGTTAATATACATATACACGATAGGCTTCAAAATTCGATAGATAAATTGTATAAATTACTTTGGGTTGTTTTGTTTAGTTGGACAAAAACATGGTACTTTCCATTATTGGGATTTCAATTTCCCAAATTCATTTTTCATAGCTCAAAATGTAATGTTAATTGTTTTAAAAGTAATTTATCTCATATCAATGTTCATTTTCTGTAAATATATAACTCTAAATAATATCACACTAAATCAGACATTTATCTAACCAAAACCTAATAGGATTAGAAGCAATCACAACAATCAAAATAATTAAGAGATAAAGAGATTATGGTGTATATTGTTAATTATCTCATATGAAAGCACATGATAAGTATTGGTTATTTTTTTATTTTAGGAATTACTACAATTTTTTTTTTTTAATTTTAATATTTGCATTTTGACGTCTAAAATATGTACTCTAAATATGTACTTTTAAATATTTAAAACATGTACTTGAAATATTCAATTCAAATATCTAAGGATCATGATTAAAAAAAAATGATTGTAACAGCCTTCAGATCCGAGAAGAACCTGGATTGAAACTCTTTAAAAATCCCCAAAAAAGAAGTCTAGAAAGTTCGAGAAAAAACCATACATCGATATCACTTGTTGGAAGATAAACCCTCGTCTTGTATGATCCGAAAACTTCTACCTGCAAAAAAAAAAGAATAAGCAAGGAATGAATTAGAGATTACACTTTAGAGCTAAACTTTACTCAGAGAGAGAAAAGCTCTATATACCTTGCAATCAGAGCAGATATACTGAATGACACTTCTAACACTATTCTTTGCTACATCACGCTGTGCTTTCTCTTCTTGAGTTGGTAAGAGAAAATCGCAAATATCTACAATCTCTGCAACACCAACATCGAAAGAGAATCAAAGCTTCAACAAAACCCTCAACTTTGAAAGGATTTGTTACCTTTATGCAGTTGAAGCAAGCATTGGGATCTTAGAACAGCTGTTCTCGTTAAACCAGTTAGTCTTTAACCTTGGTTCTTCAACTTCTTTCTCTTTCCTCCTCTTTCTACTCTTCTTCGAGGCCATAACCGGCGTAACAAAACCTTCGCCATTCTCCTCATTCACACCGGCGTCGACGTTCAGTGAGAAGAAATCCACCGTTTCTGATTCCACCGGCGTTGTGTTTCAAACAAACAAAGAGAGTCTCCTCTTTCCATTGTTTCCAATCGCAACTAAATATAGAAAATCTCAATCAAGATCGACCAAATTGCACTGATAAATAATTGTTGGATTAAAAGGTATTTTCGTGGAATATGCTTTATAATTAAAACCATAGCTATAAAATATTTTAGTGATCTTGTTTAGATAGTCGGATAGAAAAATCTGGACAGTTGGACTAATAAGATTTTGTCAATCTTTTAAATTCGGGTCAAACCCATTTGCATCGGATAAAACTGATTGATATAAACCATAGCTTAAAAAAAATATAGTGGCATTTGATTGTAATTAAAATTGAAAACCAAGGGTACCTGAAAAAAGGGCCTTGTGTTTTAATAGTATAGATATCGATTTATACCAAATCAACCGAAACTATAATCAAATTATATCGATATATCCAACGTCAAACCAAACTTACCTAAATAACTGAATCAACCAAGACTACCCAAATATTTAACCAAATTAAACTATGTATAACTGGATTTAAAATAAAAATAATTTAGTTCAGTTCTGTAGAGTTTTTAAATTGAACTAACCAGTTTCCAAACTTAATCTAGATTTGTTCGGTTTAGTTCAGATAGTTTTTTTTTCTAACACCAGACTAACAAAAAGTCAAATTTCCCGAACTGAACTTACCCTGAAATATAGGTCTATGCTAAACTATATTAAACCAAGCTTAGTTGAAACTGTTAAATATGGTAAAAACAAGGATGGGGCATATGGGTTCAGTTTTGGATTCAGTTTAACTAATTCGCTTTTAAAAAAGCTTTAACTAAACTCAACTGGCGTTAGTGTATTTCAGATTGGCGTTGTGTCGTTAAAAAATAATAATAACAAAACACAAAGCAAAAATATATTTCACCATTAAGATTGAAAATAATATAAAATATATGAAAAAGGAAACAGATGAGCAAAAATAAAATATAATAAGAAAAAAGGTAAAAGCGTAAACAAAAAAAAAAGGAAATAAAAACCTAGTATAAATAAGAGTTTACTTCTCCACCTCTAAAGAAGTGCTCCAGTTTAACTAATTCAGTTCTCTTTAAACTCTCTCTGTTCGTTCCCTAAATAGCGAATCCAAATTCTTGTTCATCAATCTTTCTTTTAACAACAGGATCATGGTTTGGTTTGCGTATTGCGACGACGAACCCGACTCTTTAATCTCCTTCGACCCAGTCTTCACCGACACTCAACAACCCAACACCCAAAACCCTAACTTTGTGTTCGATTTCGTATTGGTTTACAGGCGAGCCCCCGAACCAAACTCAGATTCAGACGAAGACGAAGATCTTGACGACCTCTGCGATTTAGAAACTCGAATCGTTCGTCAGACCCACGAGTTCGATAAAGATTGGCTCATTGGTGGCGATAGGGACCAGATACAAGACAACGTCTTTCAGATTCTTGAGATGATCCAAGTCCCTTCGTACTCTGACATCGTCCACACGTTAACTTTCGATATCTTGGAATTAAAGAAACGCGAGGCCATGTCTGATTCGCCGGAGATTGAGAGGATACGAGTAGAGATTGATGTTATCGTCCCGAGGTTTCCCTGTGATAACGACGATGTTGATCTTGAACTCGAGCTATGAGGCGTGTAGAATATTGTGATCTTGAGAACTTTACTTTCTTATTGTCTTAGGTATCGACCTTACATCGTATATATACACGAATGATAGCATGAGAACAGGAAAATAACCTAAACACAATTTGGTAATTATCCTAAAGAATAATGGAAATCGTATAATAAGTCATTATCCTTATGTGACTCCTAATACTCCCCCTCAAGTTGGAGAGTGTAAGGTATGAACTCCCAACTTGGACAGAAGAAAATCAAACTGTGGTCGACCAAGCGCCTTGGTCAAAATGTCCGCCAGTTGATCTTTAGTACGAACATGACGCATAGATATCTGTCCGGCTTTAACTGCATCACGAACACTGTGACAATCACGCTCAATATGTTTGGTTCTTTCATGAAAAACTGGGTTTGACGCTATGTGAATCGCAGCTTGACTATCGCAGTAGAATGGAACAGGCTGATGCGCAGTAACTCCAAGATCTTTCAGTAGGGGTACGATCCATTTCAGCTCTCGATTGGCACTTGACATCGAACGATACTCAGCCTCTGCAGATGAGTGTGAAACCGTATCTTGTTTCTTGGTTCTCCACGCAATTGGTGAACCACCGAGCATCACAACACATGAGCTTAACGATCGGCGAGTTGTAGGACAAGAGGACCAGTCGGCGTCACAATAGATTGACAGGTCTAGGTTAGGATCGGCACGTAGAAGAATACCTTGATCTGGCGAGCCTTTAAGAAAACGAACAACTCGCAAGGCTGCGTCCCAATGAGCTTGGCGAGGTTTCTGCATAAACTGTGATAGGAGATGAATCGAGTAAGCCAACTCAGGTCGAGAGATGGCTAAGTAGACAAGACGTCCAACTAACCGACGATACTGAGTTGGATCGGCAAACATAGGTCCATCATCAGCGGCCAATTGGTGATTCTGTTCCATAGGTGTGGATGCTGGTTTGCAACCCAACAACCCTGTTTCTGCAACAATGTCCAAGATGTACTTCCGTTGAGACAAAAAAATTCCATCTTCATTCCTGGCAACCTCAATGCCTAAGAAATATTTGAGCTTTCCCAAATCCTTCATACGAAAGCATCGGCTCAAGTAAGCTTTGAACTTGATTAATCTTGGAAGATCATTACTGGCGATGACTAGATCATCTACGTAGACAAGGACTTTAATCTCGCAGTCGTCTTTTGTAGGCGTACGATTAATGACGTGTGCTGCAGTCATGACAGCTTCGCCCCAGAACTTAGTTGGCAATCCGGCTTGAAACAATAATGCGCGTGAGACATTCAAGATATGCCTGTGCTTGCGCTCGACACGCCCGTTTTGCTGAGGCGTTCCCACACATGAGGTCTGATGAATAACCCCAGTCTCGCGGAAGTAGTGTGCAAGACAAGTAAATTCCGTTCCATTGTCTGACCTGACAATTTTAACTGATTTTCCGAACTGTTTTTCCGCCATTTTGCAGAAATTTTGAAGCACAGTTTTTACTTCTGATTTCTCGAGAAGAAGATAAGTCCAGACGGCTCGAGAATAATCGTCAACGATAGTGAGAAAATAGACAGCTCCAGTAGATGACTTGATCCTATATGGTCCCCAGACATCACAATGAATCATAGCAAAACACTCATTCGTTTTATTCAAACTATCAGGAAAAACTTCTCTTGTTTGCTTTGCCCTAAAACAAGTGTCACAAGGACTAGGGGAAGCTTGTTTATTCGAAATAACAAAAGGTAAAGACGATAAAGCTGAAAACGAAGGATGTCCGAGCCTCTGGTGCCAACGTAACTGATCTACCAATCTAACAGCTTGATTAGTTATGCATTGAACTCTTGCAGCCATGACGTCCTGAAAATAATATACCCCATCTCGCTCTTTACCGGCTCCAATCAGCGTCCTCGTAAAACGGTCCTGTAATACACACAACGTATCGGTTAATAAGGCAAAACAATTTGTTTGTTTCAACAATTTGGAGACCGAGATCAAAGAGCAGTTGAGATTGGGAACAAATAGAACATTCTCAAGAGTAATGTGATCTGTTAATGGTAAAACTCCAACGTGAGTTGCATATGTTTTATTTCCATCGGCGAAACCGACAGGACACGGTGATATACGCGATGTGTTGAGAAGCCACGAGAGATCTCCTGTCATGTGATGAGATGCTCCCGTGTCTAATATCAAGTCACCGTGTCTGATCTTACCATTTAGCTTGTCGGAGGGGGCTCTAGTCCTTTCACTGATCATCTGAGACAGGGCCTTCCATTGCTCTTCAGAAAACTCAGGGAATGAGGAGGAGTTTGAGGTTGTAGCTTGTGCATTATTTGCTCGAACACCAGTATTTCTGGGACGATCAGATGTCGACGATCCACGACCTCTGTTGCTTCGAAAACCACCTCTGTTTCCTCCTTCACTTCCTCTGTTTGGTGGACGCTCTTCCCACCAATCTGGATATCCAACAACTTGCCAGCAGCCTGACTTCTCGTGTCCTCGACGCCCACAGTGTGTGCATTGAGGGACTTTTCTTCCACTGCTGAGTCGTGTAGCTGTTTGATCTGTTTCTGTTTTAGCAACGAATCCTACAGCGTTTTGCTGTGATTCACGATCTTTGGCGGAGTTCAGACGTTGCTCTTCTCGAATTACTTTTGCATAAATTTCTCCAATATCCATATCAATATCAGACGAGATGATTGTTTGGCAAATCGAACCAAACCGGCTTTCATCTAGTCCCATTACAAATTGATGCATCTTTTCTGCTTCTCTGGTCTTTTCTATTTCCGCGGCAGCAGAACAAGTACAGCTAGGAAGTGGTTGATATGTGTCGAGTTCTTCCCACAATTTGGATAATCGTCCAAAAAACTCCAACACTGATTTTCCTTCTTGACGACACGAAGCTAGCTGTTCTTTGAGATGGTGCACGCGAACCTTGTTTCCAACGGAGAATCGTTTCTTCAAACTTTCCCACAGTTNTGTGGCTTCAACACCTTTAACCATAGGAGTTGAGGTTCCAGACATGGCGGACTCTTCTCCTGTAACCATAACTTCTGGTCGAGTTTTCGGACTTGAAAACCTAACAACTTCTTCACGATCAACAATTTAGGTCTCAGAAAAATTTCTGCTCTGATACCATGTAGAATATTGTGATCTTGAGAACTTTACTTTCTTATTGTCTTAGGTATCGACCTTACATCGTATATATACACGAATGATAGCATGAGAACAGGAAAATAACCTAAACACAATTTGGTAATTATCCTAAAGAATAATGGAAATCGTATAATAAGTCATTATCCTTATGTGACTCCTAATAAGGCGGTTGAGAAGCATATTTGGAGACGTGTTTGTTGGGAGTAAGGAATGACCTAGGGTGTGTGTTGTTTATTATGTCGGATGCCTTATTCAGCAAGTGTTTAACACTTTAGGTTTTGTTTTACTGTTTAAAAACGTTGTGTAATTGAATATTCAATACAGCCTATTTTTTTATTTTATGTTGTTATCGTTTCTTTTCTTTTCAGTATGAATCAATACAATTAGTACAATAATTAATATGTTGAAAATTCTATTTCACAAGTGTTCTTATTGAAAGCCTTTTGTAAGAACTAAGAACAGAGCTTTCAGATTCTATTTCTTTATATTCTCTCTTAGGATCAGCAATGGACCAATGTAAATTGAAAAAGAAGAAGGAAGATTTTTACAAAATCAGAAACAAATAAAAAACTAAACAATATTCATGCAATGATCTCACAAATAGTCTAACATGTTCAAGAAGCTTTTTTGACGAGGAAAAAAGTTCAAGTCTGAAGAAGGTTGTGAAACCATCAAGCTCCGTAGTCAGTACTAGACACCTCCTACCATTGCAAAGAGACTAGTTTGTACACCACTGCTTCTCCTTGCCGCATGTAAACATGAGGAAAGGCTCTCGTTTCCTCTCTGCCAAAAATGTTTCTTTCTTGTCCCATTCACCTCGTACTTGATGATAGAAATATGCATCTTGATGGTGGACGGCATACAAGTAGCCAATCAGTTGTATCACCACATTAAAGCACTAGAATCGTTCACTGAGATAGACAATCTTGCACCCCATGTAAAACGGTAAAAGAGTAGGGAAGGAGGACAAGAGAAGGCGATATATTTTAGCACACTTGGTAAATGTATTATTACTAGATTATTATCTTATTATTTTATCGATTTGTGTCATATTTTACACCGGTCAAAGTTTGGGACCGGTAAAATTTATTATTTATAGAGGATTATTAATTTATCGAGTATTAATTTATAGAGGTTCTACTATATTATTTTTATTATTTTGGGATGATCGTTTGCGTCTGGTAAGTATACAAGAAAACTGTAGATTTTTTACGGAGATACGAAATTATGGAAAACTCGTATCAAAGTATGAAATAATTAAAAAGACCTCCTGACGAGGTTAAAATTGGTAATCTCGAAATCAAGGTCTACGATTACTTCTCCTTATGTTCTCCGAAAGAATCTCGGGTCGAGAAGACAAGAAACGACCGAAGCTGCACAGCCGACCAGCTCGCCAAGAAGGAGAGCTGGACGGACCAATCAAGTTCACCGGCTTGGCGAGCTGACCAAGGCCAATCAGCTCACCAAGACGGCGAGCTGGACGGACCAATCCAGCTCGCCAGTTTGGCGAGCTAACCAAGACCGATCAGCTAGCCAAGACGGCGAGCTAGACGGACCAATCCAGCTTTCCGGCTTGGCGAGCTGACCAAGCCCAATCAGCTCGCTAAGACGGCGAGCTGGACGGACCAATCCAGCTCGTAGGCTTGGCGATCTGACCAAGACCAATCCGCTCGCCAAGACGGCGAGTTGGCCTTACCGTCCGCACCATTGACCGCTTGTCGGCCAAACACAAGGCATATGCCCTTTAACTCGATCATACTCTGAGCCGTGGTTGGAACATCTCTCGTTTCGTCTCGATCCGTATTATCGTTGGGACTTAACGATAAAAACCGCTAAAGACTTGTTTTCTCGTAAAAACTCGAGTAAAT